CCAGATTTTTTTTCTTTGGCAATAATGTCAGGGGTTACCAGTTTCCAACATTCTTCAAAATATATTTTTGTGTTCAACAGGAAAAAAAGACACTTAAACCGATTTGGAACCTCTTGAGGATAAGTGTAAATGATGACAGAATTTTTACTTCACCTTCTTAAAGTTTTGAAAGACTTATAGTCACAGTTTTTACCTGACCCTCTCGAATATTGTATGAATTAAATACTATACAGTCACTATTTGTTTTGAAATCTCTTTGGTCAAGCATCTACCACTGTAGTATATTTATACAATTCTCTTTCTCTCTCTTTCTTTCTCTCTTTCTCTTTCTCTCTCTCTTCCTCTCCATCACTTCCTCTTTCTCCCCTCTACGTTTATGAATGGGACCTGCGGCCATTGTCTCTGTGTCAATCACACACACACGTACCCAGGAGACACGCAAATTGACATTTGCCGGATCGCTCTGTCTGTGTGTGTGTGTGTGTGTGTGTGTGTGCATGTGCATGTGTGTGTTTTAGGTTATTAAGATAAGGCAGGTATGCCGTAGGTTCTTCATTAACATGTTAGGGGATCTCATCATCCTTTCTCCTCTAGCGCTGTGGCCGTAATTGGGTAAGGCTATTAGACGGGGAGTGATCGCGCCTGTGTGATGGCAGGAGGGGGATGGTGCCGTGGCCAATGGGGGAGGATCGAGTCTTAGAACTACATGGTGTGTATGAGAGCACGTCTATATTGCTGTGCTGATGGGACAGGCCTATTAAAGCTGGTGTCGGTTTAGCTGGACTTTAATAGTCCTGCTAAGCAGCGGGTAATTGGCCATATCCAGAGAAAATAGAAGAAATTGATTTAGAGGTTCTAGGGTTTAAGTGGACACCTTGGAGCGGTGAATTTTAAACTGTAAATTGAGGAAATGCAGTGGAACATGAGATCTGTAACTCTGGAATATTAAATGTGACAAATGGATATATGAATACATACAGTGGTGTGAAAAAGTGTTTGCCTCCTTCTGATTTCTTTCTTTTTTTGCATGTTTGTTGCACTTAAATGATACAGATCATTCATTCATTCATTATCCTTTGGCTTAGACCCTGATTTATCAGGGGTCAGTACAGCGGAATGGACCACCAACTACTCACAGTTTTAAACAGTGGATGCCCTTCCAGCTGCAACCATTAAGGGAAACCACTATCCAAAACTACATATCCCTATATGAAATGTGTTTTCCTTCCGACACACATTAAAACACCCTAAATCTGCTTTATCACACCTGAGTTAAATTTCTCTAGCCAAACCCAGGTCTGATTACTGCCATTACCTGTTAGAGGAGAGAGCTAAATTGAAAGAAGTTCAAAAACAAATATGAAGGCAAATAATTGAGATCTACCTGTTTAGCAAATGGCAAACTTATAGAACCGTAGACCTCGCTTGCACTGCAGGCCTCACTTGCCTCAGTTAAGGTGAGTGTTCATGACTCCCCCATAAGAGAGAGCCCGGGCAAAAATGTTTTGCATGGCAGAGTTCCAAGATGAAAACTACTACTGAGCAAAAAAACATAAAGGCTCAAATCAGTTTTCTGCTTTAGGAGCTAGAAGACCAGAAGATGGATTCTGCTGTGTACTAAAATAACCTGAAGGAGAATGTTCGGCCATGTAGTGACCTCAAGCTGAAGCAATCTTGGGTTCTGGAGTAAACTGATTCAAAGCTCACCAACAAGTCTACTTCTGAATGGCTGAAAAAATGAAGAGTTTGGAGGGGCCTAGTTAAATTCCTGACCTGAATTCTTTTGAGATGCTGTAGCATGACTTAATAAAGGCAGTTCATGCTTAAAAAATTTCCATTGTGGCTGAATTACAATCATTCTGCAAAGATGCGTGGGCCAGAACACACTAAACTGTGCTGTAACAGACTCACTGCAAGTTATCAAAAATGCTTGATTGCAGTTGTTGTTGCTAAGAGTGGTCCAATATTAGTATTAATGACTTTTTCCACACAGGGTAATGTAGATTTGTATATATATTTTTTTTATTAAAACTGCATGATGTGTTTACATGTGTTATCTGTGACTGATGATTACATGTGTTTGATGTTCTAAAACATTAAGGTGTGACAAACATGCAAAAATAAAATTAATAAAAGAACTCAGTAAGGGGCAAACACTTCTTCACATCATTTCAATGAATTATGTTAATAAGCAGGGTCGAAGCAGTGGCACAGTAGGTAGTACTGGTTTGAGCCTCGACTCAATTGGCGTTTCTGTGTGGAGTTTGCATGTTCTCCATGTGTTCGTGTGGGTTTCCTCCGGGTGCTCCGGTTTCCACCACAGTCTAAAGACATGTGGTACAGGTGAATTGGGTAGGCTAAATTGTCCGTAGAGTATGAGTGTGTGTGTGGATGTTTCCCAGAGATGGGTTGCGGCTGGAAGGGCATCCGCAGCATAAAAACTTGCTGGATAAGTTGGCGGTTCATTCCACTGTGGCGACCCCGGATTAATAAAGGGACTAAGCCAAAAAGAAAATGAATGAATGTTAATAAGCAATGTTCTTTATAATATTTAAAAAAAAAGAATTGTTCACTAAATGTTTTTGGACATATAACAATCTTTCATATCACATTATTTTTTAATTATTTAGATATATTATATCAAATGTTCTAGCTGGTAACTTGCAAACCTCATTAGCTTTTTGGATATACTGCAGCACGAGGTGAAGTTTTCGACATAGGCTATCTTTTTTGTTTGCTTGATAAGAAATTAAACACTGCCATCTAGCGGTTAATGAGACGTTTGCATTATCTTCCTTTGTCAATATAATGAGCACAAAACCTTTTTTAATTTTAACTTGCATGTATTAATCATAACTTAAACTTACCAAAATTTTACCATAAAAGAAATTGAATTTCAATCTTATAAGCATCAGCGGGTGTTTGACTATTTTACTGTTCCTTCTCGTAGCGCTATCAGCAATTCAATTTTCAGTATGTAAAAACCGTATTGTAAGTAAACCTCTCTGACATATTGCATTGTGTTTGTTACTATAGATTGTAAGTTATTATAGACACATTTAATTAGTTACATTAATAAATTTAAACAAAACCATTTTTGTTACCCACACAAAAAATAATTAGATATCAACTAAATAAAATAAAAATATCTGCTAACTACATTATTAAAATTTAAAGCCAATGTCAATTTCAAGCAGAAATTGGAAATCTTATCTTTTTTGTTACATTCATGCTTTTACTTTTAAAACATGTCTGTTCGTTTGTTACATTATTATCTATACCTGAAATCTGTAAATAGCAATATTAACACTCAAATAATACATTTTGGCCACCCCATAAATATATTCCCTGGGAACATGAAGTTGAAGTCGGAATTATTAGCCCCCCTGATTTATTAGCTCCCTGTTTATTTTTTTCCCCAGTTTCTGTTTAACAGAGGGAAGATTTTTTTCAACACATTTCTAAACATAATAGTTTTAATAGTTCATTTCTAATAACTGATTTTTTTTTATCTTTGCCATGATGACAGTAAATAGTATTTGACTAGATATTTTCAAGACACTTCTATACAGCTTACAGTGACATTTAAAGGCTTAATTAGATTAATTAGGTTAACTATGCAGGAGAGGGTAATTAGGAAAGTTATTCTATAAAGATGGTTTGTTTGTTCTGTTAACTATCGAAAAAAAAAGTTAAAAGGGCTAATAATTTTGACCTTAAAATGGTTTTCAAAAAATTAAAAACTGTTTTTATTCTATCTGAAATAAAACAAATAAGAAGGCGGCGCAGTAGGTAGTGCTGTCGCCTTACAGCAAGAAGGTCACTGGTCTGAGCCTTGGCTGGGTCAGTTGGCGTTTCTGTGTGGAGTTTGCATGTTCTCCCTGCCTTTGCGTGGGTTTTCCTCTGGGTGCTCCGATTTCCCCCACAGTCCAAAGACATGCGGTACAGGTGAATTGGGTAGGCTAAATTGTCCATAGTATATGAGTGTGTATGGATGTTTTCCAGTGGGTTGCAGCTGGAAGGGCATCCGCTGCGTAAAACATATTGGATAAGTTGGTGGTTAATTTTGCTGTGGCGACCATGGATTAAAAATAGACTAAGCTGAAAAAAAAGAGAGAAAACAAATAAGATTTTCTCCAGACATTATCAGACATACTGTGAAAATGTCCTTGCTCTGTTAAACATCATTTGGAAAATATCAAAAAATTCAAAGGGAAGCTAAAAGTTCTGACTTCAACTGTATATAGTGCACTAAATAATAACAATAATTCATCGAACAATTTTTGTTTCCGTCAACCTTGTTTTATTAAAGTAATTAAATTAAAAAAATTACAGCTATCAATGATTTGTGTCTAATTGTTCCGTTTTGTCGCAGGTAGCCATTTGATAAATTGGAAGGTTGTTGTAATACAAAAATAGTCTATGTAGGCCTATGATATAAGCAATACAGCTACAGCTAATAAAAATGCTAATGTGTGTTTTAGATTTTGTAGTGTGTGAATAATCAGGGATTAGCAATAACTTGCCATACTCGTTGCACTGAGGGGCCCTCAAATAAAATATTGCTTAGGGCCCATGGAGTATTGAGCGGTGCTGTTGACTATATATTAGGCCTATATGAACCAGTTGAACAACACTTATTTTTCATTCTTGGGTAAACTTACCTTTTACATTTGACCAAAGCAATTATGAATGTTCAACATTCTTCTCACTTTTAATATTTACATTTTTACACTGCAATTCATTTCCATAGTGGATAAACTGGCAGCGATCGACGTGCAGGGTCATAAAACATGGATATAGAGGGGAGACTTAATGTACGAAAACAGTACACAACCATCTTATTGATTCGTAAATATATAACAATGTAATAATAAACAACAAACGACTTAACTAAATAGCGTATACATGTCATATTATCTCTAAGTGCCGTGTCATTATCCAGCAGTATCATTATCGGTTACAAATCTCACCGTAAGCGGATTGGTTTGGCCCTATTCATTAACGACACCCGAGTCTCGCGCCTCTCAGCTCCCCTCCCCCGTCGACCGACAGAGACGCGTTATCCTCAAAGCCATTTAATAAGCTACATTTTGTTGTTTGTTATCGGGGCAATTATCAGATCTGGAATGCGACTGTTAAATCAGAACCGTGATTTTTCGCGTTTACAATAACCATCGTCGTCGTCATGTTTGCTCTGCATCCGCTGCTGCGGGTCTCTGTGCTGCTGGATGCGACGCTGTGGCTCGCAGTCTCTGCCAGTCCTACCGACGATAATGTGCTGCGGGCCGGACACGGAGAGCACGGAGAACCGGGGCACGAGGAGCCACATAAGGACTCCTATAGCACATTCGCCTCCGAGTTCCTGGAGTCCAGATACCTGTCAGACGAAGGTACAAGATAATTAATCCCAGATGCTTAATATGAAGCCGTGAATGCTGTTTTGTGTTGTTTTTTTTTCCGAGGAATTGAATAGTGAATGATCAACGTCGATGATTTCCCTTGGCCTAAGCCCTTTAAATTGTGTTAATTGCATTGGATTTGACTATTAGTGACTTATGTTAGTACCTTCTATTCTATTATAGCCAACTGTATTTGTTCGCTAATAGCCTATTAATTTTAATAGCATATGGTCCAACATCAGCACCTTGGTCAGCACCCTATAAGACCACTGACTTGCATATTTTGGAGTCTGTTTGTGAGCAAATTGCTGTCCCAACACATCAAAAGTGTAATTAGAACAGAAAAAAAGATATAGGACATTCTACCAGAAACGTATATTATCTGTCCCTAAAATAGGAACATGTACAGTTGATAAAAAGTATTTCATCCCAAAAATGTCTAAAAAAGATTGATTGTTGATTTCTGTGAGTTGTTCTAAGAATATGTTGTTCATTTGGTTCTCAGATTTCTGTTCTTTATTGAAAACACTTAAAAAAAATTACAAACCCTGTCATTGTCATTGTCCTTCGCCCAGTTGAACCTATACAGCCTTAATAGTTTTGTTATGCTAAAAACATTAAGGTTATTTAGTGTAAAAACTTCAGAAATAGCTAATGTTTATATCATTCACATCAATTGATTAAAAACATGAAAATTCTACAAATAAACACTTGAAATACACAGTTGAAGTCAGAATTATTAGCCCCCTTTGAATTTTGTTCTTTTTTAAATATTTTCCAAATTATGTTTAACAGAGCAAGGGAATTTTCACAGTATGTCTGATAATATTTTTTCTTCTGGTCTTATTTGTTTTATTTTGGCTAGAATAAAAGCAGTTTTAATTTTTTAAAACACAATTTTAGGGACAAAATTATTAGCCCTTTTAAGCTATTTTTTTCTCGATAGTCTACAGAACAAACCATCATTATACAATAACTTGCCTAATTACCCTAACTCACCTAGATACACAAATTAACCTAGTTAAGCCTTTAAATGTCACTTTAAGCTGTATAAAAGTGTCTTGAAAATTATCTAGTCAAATATTATTTACTGTCATTATGGCAAAGATAAAATAAATCCATTATTAGAAATGAGTTATTAAAACTATTATGTTTAGAAATGTGTTGAAGAAATCTGCTCTCCATTAAATAGAAATTGGGTAAAAAATAAACAAGCGGTCTAATAATTCAGAGGGGCTAATAATTCTGACTTCAACTGTATATATAATACAAATAAATTTACAATTCTCCCAATGTTTCTGTCAGCCCTGTCACATCTGCATTAAATTTGACATTTTAAAATGCGTACTATACACCTTTAAGATTTGACTAAAAATTCGCATTTTTGGTAGAATGTCTCATATATATGATTTACAAGAATAAAGTAAAATAGAACCTAAACTCTTACCACATGATCTTAGCCTGTGGACAACAGACCGTGTTCAAAAGTTCAATAGTGTGTGTGTGTGTGTGTGTGTGTGACTTTTTAAAAAAATGTTTGCATGTCTGCTTTTATTTGGTAAAATTACAAGATAAATAAATCGAAATAGCTGTTTTCATAATTTTAAAATGTAATTTTTACAAACTTTTTTGAAGCCTGAATTTTCAGCACCATTACTTCCATCAACAGAGTTACATTATCATTTACATTGATTATCATCAATGCTAGAAAATAGCTTAATATTTTTAGATTTTTCATTATAGTTTTTTTCCCCATTTTTTATTTTGATAAATAAATAGTTCAAAAGAACAACAAAGAGCTGAATTTATGCATTCATGTTCTAAAAAGTGTAATAGTTGTAATTGTGTATAAGTGTAATTAATTCATTGACAATTTCAAAAGCTAAGTTAATATTTTGTACTATTTATTATATAAACTAAATATTTTCACTAACTGGTTAGTTGTGGGAAAATGACGATTATTAGATCATTTAAACAATAATTAGATTAATAATAGTTGCAGCTCTACAGCGTTTGTTTGAAATATTTCTTGTAACATTATTAATGCCTTGACGGTCCATTTTTATTCAAGTTCACTTAGTTAAGAAACTGAATTAATTTATTTAACTAAAATTATTGAAGCTGGCACAGTGGCCACTGGGGACTTGGATGTCAAGATCTCAGGACGTGATCTGTTTTTTTCTAACAGTTTAAACATATGCATTATAGGTCAGTTGGATGAACTAAATTGGCTGTTGTGTGAATGAGAGAGTGTGTGGGTATTCCAGCACTGCGAGTTCACAAGTTTTTAGGGTCACGAGTTAGGTTAGTGGCTAAAAGAGCATCCACCACATAAAACATATGCCAGAGAACTGGTGGTTCATTCCTCTCTGGACACCCCTGATAAATCAGAGAGTAAGCCGAAGGAAAATGAGTGAGTAAAATGAATTGATGAATAAACAACATCATCCATGATTGTTATCTGCAGTTGTGTTGGTAGCAATCAAAGACATCTGTCTGAAAGCAGCTCAGTAGTGTTATTTGTTGCCTCACAGGTTACCCTTTCCCAACTGCACCCCCTGTGGACCCATTTGCCCGCATCAAAGTCAGCGACTGTGGAGTAACCAAAGGATGCATCAGGTCTGTGCATGCAATGAAGGTTTATGTATAATATCAGAGGTCAAATCATTTAACAGGAGTGTTGTATTGCAGTATTAAGCTGCTGTCTGCCATGCTGCCACACACCCTTGTGTTAATGTTGTCAATCAGACCAGACCAGTCGGACTAGTTACTGATCTCGCTAAAAAACAAATTGCCTCAATTTATTCTTTCTCTTTCTATTCATTAGATATGGCAAACCAGGCTGTGACGCAGAGTCCTGTGACTATTTCCTGAGTTTCAGACGCATTGGCACAGATGTGGAATTCGAGATGAGTGCAGACACTGATGGATGGGTTGCCGTTGGTTTCTCTTCAGATAAAAAGATGGTAAAAAGAGTTAGTATAATCTGTGGATGCTTTCAGACATGCTATGATATACACAATAATATTGTTGTTGTAGGGAGGTGATGATGTCATGGGCTGTGTTCATGATGATAACGGACGTGTACGGATCCATCATTTCTATAATGTGGGCCAGTGGGCCAAAGAAATCAAGCGCAACCCAGCACGGGATGAAGAGGGCATCTTTGAAAACAACCGCGTCACCTGCCGCTTCAAACGGCCTCTTCATGTGGCACGCGAGGAAACACTGGTGGACCTGCACCTGAGCTGGTACTATCTGTTCGCTTGGGGACCTGCTATACAAGGTAAGTCATTTGGTCTGATTTTAGAGCTTAGTTCATACTGCACCGTTTAGTGGTGCAAGAAAATATCGGTTGCACTTTATTTTACAGGGCATATACTGTACATACTGTGTACTTTGCTTAGCATGTACTTTGTGATGTAAGATATATTAGGTTACAGGGTTTGTTTAGGGACAGTAAATTTAAAGTCCTTTTGAAATCAAAAATTACAATGTTGATTTTTTTTCATAGCACGTTGTTATTCTTTAGGTGAAAAAATGCAAGTTAATCCACAAAACAAATGTTTTTATCTTCAATCAAAGTCCAATTGCTTCCACATTTGGAGTGGTGGTCCTTCTCTGTTGCTGTCAGGTTGACAGCTTCAGCCACAATATTTTCTTAACCACACCCCATGTACTGTTAGTTTGCTAAAAGGGAATCATGTGCAAAAAGAATAGCCTTTTCCACCAATACCACCTAACAACTGGTACTTTTGTAGTGTCACCTCATGTGAGGTTCCAAATGAGCTGTACTGTTACCAAAATGTGACGTATACACACTGCTGATCAACGATTGATCTGTCAATATCAGCACCTACAGTGTCAATGGATTTGTGACACAAAACACCAAACCACTATATACAGTATAAACAATCTGCTGCTGCCACTTATGTTTTGTTGGCTTGCATGACTAAACCATTTTTACACAAGAATAATGCTATGTAATTGACAACATTATGGTCAGCAGAAGAGGTCCAGATCTTCATCGGTAGCCAAGGAGCAAATTAAGTGAATAGATGGGACAACTTGGAACTGTTTTTTTTCCCCACCCACTTAATGGTGCACTAAACTGCAGTAAATTGCAGACTGAGCCAAGCAAAACAGAACAGAACCAAAGCCAAACTGTATTGTACATGCAGTAAAAAAGCAGCTTTAGTGGTACCCCAAAAAAATCAGTAATCTTAAAAACTGCATTTATTCAACCTTCTATATAGTAAGTTTCAATTAACTTCAATTAGCTAGCTTAATTTAAAAAAAATTTCAGGAAGTTTTTTATATGCCCAAAAAATACCGCTAGAATTAGAAGATCCTTATTGACCATATTTGGTCCTGATCTAGTAATATTTTTGCTGTGACAAGGCAAGTAAAATATTTTGATCCCTGACATTTTAAAGCAACCTGGCTACGTGCATATTTATGTTAAACAAACAATATTTAACTGCTGTTTATTGTGATGTTTTTTGAATGACATTTGTTTTTGAAGTGAGACCCTCTTTTTAATATAAATAAATGTAGCAAAATATTGCTTTTCTTATAGTTTCTTTTTGCAATAAATTTGAAACTGACTGCATCGTAACTATTTATTATGATAAACTGTCACACATGACAAAAATTAGTATTGACATTAGTAGTTAATGTTCAGCAAATGGGTAATTATTTCTTTGCTTCCATGGACCCCTTGTTAAAAGTGTGTTGTTATTACTTTTTTTTACATTTTAAGCCAAATCTCTAAGCTGTTTCAAGCATAGTTCAGTAAATTACTACTCTTATAAATTAAAAAGAAAATCGTAAAATTCTTTATAAATATCTCAGGCCTAATTTTAAGTGTCTATTGTAGTAAATGGGAATCATATTTTTATCTGCATATTCTTGTAAAACTGTATCCTCTGTTGTGTCACCATATGCTAATTCTAAATCGGCAATTCCACAAAAAACCTGGATATGGACCAGGTGGTTGGGGAAAAAACTGGGTTTGAGGAAAATATATATTTTTAAGTTTTTGTGTTACCTCGCAAAGGTTTGCATTACCTCGCGAGGATGTTGTTCCACAAACTCTTCCTGTTCACTTTATATTTTAAAAATATAGGGAATTTGTATGTACAGTCAAATGTGAACCCAGAGTATGAATGCAATTCCTTTTTTATTAAATGCCTGAAATGCATATTGTGCATAATACGTCTTGTAGTGGTAGAGAGCTCCATACTTACACTCTGGAGCATTTCAGAGAAAATGCATTAGGAAAGTGATTAACCTATTAAAAGAAGAAATTAAAAATTCTCCCGCCTATTTTTCCCCCACTCAAGCCCCCTGTAAAGCCCATGACGTGCACATTAAATGTTTGTCCTGGAATTTTTCCACATATTTTTTTGGAACCATTATAAAATTAGTTTTGTTGTCCTTTTTTGTGACAACTTAATTTGTAGAAAATCTCCACAAAATCTGATTTTGGAGAAATCAGATTTTCTGGAGAAAAAACATAAAAAAATAAAATAAATTGCACTAAATTAAGATGTGTCCAACAATGTGGATAAATTACTCCCACTCTTTTTATATAATTTATATATATAAATAAATAAATGAATATATAAATGAATATATATATATATATATATTATACCAATTTCCACAAGATTTTTTTATTCACACATTTTAGATCAGTGGAACTGATGTTCTCAAAAGTTGAGTACACATCAGCCCTAATGGTGTAGTGGTTAGTGCGTCAGCACATGGCAATCTGGTGTTCATGGTGTCCCAAGTTTAAATCCCACCTTGAGGTCCTATGCCGATCCTTCTCTTCTCTCCCCACGCTTTTCTGTCTATACTTTCTACTTTCCTATCAATTAAAGGTGAAAAAAAAAAATGTTCAGTTTATGAGAAAAAATAAAAGGAAATAAGAATAATGCTTCTTTGTTTACTCAACTTCAGGCATTCCAGGTCTGCAGATAAAATAATTGTTCACTTGGCACAACTTGGCACAAAGTTTTGTTTCGTTGTAGTTCACCTCTCCAGAAAACGAATAATCTTTTGTTAAATGTTTTTTGTATTACTGACAAATAATTTTAGGTCAGTGCAGCGGATGTTTTCAAAAGTTGAATGAACAAGAAAAAAGCTAAAAGAAATGAGAATTCTGTTTTTTTATTGGCTTAAAATGTTTTAGTGTGTCTCGGTTTTGTCAGATTGTTGTGTTACTTCTCTTGGCATTAGCTTATGTCTGCTGAATGACCGTGGTTATGGGATATCTCTGAAAAGCGTTTTTTCTTTAATCTGGTGATTATGTATGTTAGTGTCCGTCTGTTGGTGCTATGTGAATAATCCTACAAATTCACTCCAGTTTATGATGCCATTTTAATAGAGATTTTTTTGTTTTTATTCTCAGGCTCCATCACAAGGCATGACATTGACTCCCCGCCGGTGTCAGACCGCATGATCAGCATCTATAAATATGAGGACATTTTCATGCCTGCCACTGCCTATCAGACATTCTCTTCTCCCTTTTGCCTTCTCCTCATCGTTGCTCTTACCTTCTACCTGTTGATGGGCACGCCATAACCAGCAAAGAGAGACAACTCGCCCTGGAGCCACTATTAGCATGACTGTGTGCCAAATTAACAGTATTAGAAGCAGACCACAATAAGTAAGATTTTACTATATCCTCAGTCTGTAATCACCAGTATTGGATTCTGGAGTAATACTGAGTTATACAAGTAATTGATCTCTTTCAGAGGAAAGTCAGTCAATCATATATATATATATACAACAGTTCTGTCTTGTTCTTGAATCTGATTGGCTGATAGCCGTGATATATTTAAGTAATATCAGCACCTGTAAAGCCTCTTTACCCTTTGTGTATTACTCCGCCCACATACAACCAGCAAAAACCAGACAATACAGATCTAAAGTTTAAAAGATTCTTGCTCAGCTGTTTAACTGTCAGCTTATAATTTGAATCCAAGGCGGAAGAAAGTAGTTCCTCATACAAAAGGGTTTTTGAGACTCTCCGTGTTTGATTTTGTTTTTATATACACAATTATACCGTCAAACTGTTGTATAAATGCAATATCACACTCGTAGCAGTGCGATATGGCTGTATATCGGCACTAAGGCACTCGGCCAACGTACGCCTCCCACCAGTGCCGATATACAGCCATATCACATATCGCAATGTAGTGTCTGCTTTTTGCTGTAATACACAAAGGGTAAAGGGTAAAGAGGCTGTAGGAGTTCTGATATTGCAGAATATTGCACGGCTATCAGCCAATCAGATTTGAGAACCAGACAGAACTGTTGTATATATATATATATATATTTGTGTGTGTGTGTAATTACAATACAATATATTTTTTATTTTGATAAAAAAAAATTGAGGAATCCAGAGTGCTCTGATATATCATAATAGGTAGAGTCTACAATAGCTGAAACAATCTGAGCCAAATCTACAGTATGTGAATGTTCTAAATATGCTTAATGTGCAGTAACATTAGTGCAAAAGGTTTGTCAGGGGCATACAGCGGGCAAATAAGTAATGAACACGTTATATTTTTTTCCTGGGAATAATATTTCTAAAGGAGCTGTTAAAATGGAATTGAACCAGATTTTGATAAAACCCAAACATTACAAACATAAAAAAAATCTGAAAAATTAGAGAAAATTCTAAACTACTGAAACGTATTTAATAGTGTATATATAAAATACTTTTTGGTGATGTCAGCTTAAAGATGCCTCTCATATGGAGAATGAAGTCACATAAATTTCTCAGGTGTGAGTTTTGTCACAGACTTTAACAGAGTGTAAAAGTCTTGATGGGTCTTTTCTATCTAATTGTATCTTTACTTTGATTGGCTGGGCCACTTTCAAGCTTGATTTTCTATTTCTGAAAGTATTTGAGAGTGGCTGTGTTTTGGATCATTGGCAATGTTTCCATCAAAAAATGCAAATTAGATTTATGCACAAAACTGGATTATTGCATAAAAGATGTGGGAATAAAGCAGCGTTTCCATCCAACGATTCAAAGAAAACAAAATCGTCACTTCCTGATTAACTGGCGCCAAATATCAAAATTAAAAATGGAATTTGCTGTGGTCGGAGAAGCTGCATGAGTCTTTTCTGTTTAATAAAAGACTTGAACCACAGAAGACAATGCCAACACGCGGCATTGACGTTTAAAGAAATTAGAAGCAGAACACAAATTCTCTTGACAGTTCTGGAGGTAATTGACAATATAATAACACTAATACTGAAATGGTTGAGATGCTCAACCTGCTGGTTTGTCCAATCCCACACATCATCACATGATCTCTCACCACAAAATCACATGACTTTTTTTATTGCGCATACTGGAATTTGTTCGGTAAAAGTGTTTCCATCGTAGTTTATGCACATTTTTTCTTATCGAATAAACAGTTTATTCTGCTCGGTTATCTGCATATATTGAGCATTTTCAAAAATTTTGCGCATCTTGCCATTTCCATCAACCAGTTTTTTTGTGCGCATGTCCAAGTGCGCATAAAAACAGGTGGTTGGAAACAGATATTGTCTTACCGAAATATCCACCCTGGTTTTATTTTCATCATCCTGATGTTGGATTGAAGCAGCTAATATTAATTTAAAATTAGGAAAGTCAGAGGCTTGCTGAATTTGTAAACTAATTAGATTTGTTTTCTTTGCATATAGGTTTTTTTATTGTTACCAATATCCAGGAAAAAATTCAAGTCAACGGCACCTTTACAAATATGTTTTCTGAGAAAAGCGGTGACGTGTTCAATGCTTATTTTCCCTGCTGTATTTCATGCAAATTCATTAAAAAATCCACAAGTATTTAAAGGTACATTTTTCAATAAATTCTCAATTGCATTGATTTCTTTTGAGATCGCAAAATTACAAATATAAAAACTTGCAGAAGAAAGTAAATGTGACTGCGCCCCTACAGTGACTCATATCCACAGCTGAACCATGTCACTCTATTGAATTTAATAGAGGTGCTCAGCTGTTTGGAGTCATCTACTTTCCACTGTTATCACACTATTTTACAGGATATTTATTTAGACTTGATATGTAAATTTATGCCTGTGATTGACTACGCAACTTTCAGCAGTTTAGAATTGGCCCCACAGCACAAACACGCACATATAGTATTCATAAAACATCACCGCCTTAGCCAGCATTACCAGCTCAGTATTTTGATGCATGCCAGCAAACCAGCTCCATCTGAGCCATGTAGACTAGCACCCACTAGACAATAAACCAGCCCAGAAGAGAGTCATCTGGTATTCATTCAAATGAATCAAAGACTTCCTTTACTGAGGACTTCATGCCATTGCAGAACTCACAAGCGATGGAAGGACTGATTGCTGCCCATGTAGAATGATTCAAATCACACCAGTTTGTGTGTGGTTGGTTTCTGTTCCAAATCTTTGGCATTATATAAAAATGTCATGTAAAACATTTGTACAGCAGATTGAAGAGTTTTATGTAAAAGATGTTCTGAATAATATTTTCTTTTAAATGTGTTGTTATATTCACCTATGTGAGGATGTGAAAGAGTCGTCAATTACTTTTTGATGTGTGCAGGCCAGAGATAATCACATAGCATGAATGGAGACATTGTATGCTAAAGGTCATGGACTAATATGTTTGCCAGTTATATTTTAATGTGCTTTCTATTTTTTATTTTTTTTTATTTTTTACTTTCGATAGTATTAGCAAATATGCAATAAGGAGTGTGTGTACGGAAGGAGTGTGAGCCATTTGTATTTTACACATTTGTCATTCGAGCTAGCATCATTAGCAGCTAACATACATTCTGATGAATTTACTGTGAAAAATTAACATACCCTGAAGCAAAAATGAATGGTTTAATGGTTCTGAACACAACCTATACTGCAACTGCACTTTTAATAAAGCTATGAAGGACATCTGAATGTGTGTATTGTCAAAGCTGTCTTTATAAAACTGGAATGTTTGACTAAATGTAAGATCAGATGTGTGTACTAAAATTTTCACACAGGAATCAATTCAGTGATTTTTTTTCTGCAGGTTACATCATTCCACCAGTAGATGGTAACAAATGATTGTCTTAGTATCTGGAATCACATAACGTACGGTAGGTAGGCCTCTAAATTTAGGCTAAAACTTACTTTGCGACCATTTAAGAAAAGTGTTTTTGACAGAGGTTCACCACCTGACTGAACCATTGATACAAGGCAAGATGGATCCATGCTTTCATGTTGTTGATGTCAAACTTTGACCCCACCATCCAAATGTTGCAGCAGAAATCGAGACTTATTAGACCAGGCAATCATTTTCCAATCTTCTATTGCCCAATTTTGGGGACCCTGTGCGAATTGTAGCCTCAGTTTCCTATTCTTTGCTGACAGGAGTGGCACCCGGTGTGGCCTTCTGCTGCTGTAGCCCATCCTGCTCAAGGTTGGATGTGCTGTGCATTCAGAAATGCTCTTCTGCATACCTTGGGTGGAACGAGTGGTTATTTGAGTTACTGTTGCTTTTCTATTAGCTCTGACCAGTCTGCACATTCTCATCTGACCTCTGGCATCAACAAGGCATTTGCGCCCACAGGACTGCCGCTCACTGGATATTTTCTCTTTTTCAGACCATTATCTGTAAACCGCAGGAATGGTTCTGCATGAAATTCTTAGTATGTGACACATGACATCATTGCATATGTATTGGCGGCCAGCTAGTGTGTGCTGTGCAGGGAAACATCACTCCACTGACCTCTTAAGGTGCTCTAGCAACGGATACTAGCCTCCTTGTTAGAGCAACCGACTCCCACTGGGTGGCGTAGGGCCGGCAGCTTTAAACATATTTGGAATCATAGCATATTGTGCCACAATCACAACAAATCACAGATTCAATTCACTTGCTCATTAAAAATACACGACTGTAATCAAAACAAGTCTTAACTTTATTTGACAGAAATAATAAGAACAATGAACTTTTAATTTTTAATCACGTGACATTTAAATAATATTTTAAACTACAAGACTACTTCCAAATACGTGTAACTTACTTTCTCCCACAGAACCAAAAATATGTATTATAATCTGAGGAACTGATTTTTTACTGTAATGAGATTTCTTTAAATATTTATATTGGACAGAAGAAAGTTTTATGGGTTTAGATTAGAATAGACTGATGCAAACATCCTTTGGGTGACAAAGTGTAAAGTTTCGTCGCCGTTTACAGTATGCTATTCTAAAGGATGCTTTAAGAAAAAAAGTTACATTTCAATTTGTAGACAGTACAACTTGACTACATTTCCCAGACTCCTCCCTGCACATGACGTCACTATCAGCCCAACCCGCAGTTCCTTATGTGGTGGATCCTCCGGACAGAAGCGGAGCGACGCCGCGGACCATGGCTGACACGGAGGACCCGGGTCCAGGCGCGGCAACTGAGCCGGACACCCCGCGCACAGTCCGGCCACACAACGTCTCGTTCAGCGAGAGCGTTCAGCCCGCGGTCGGGATGGTTAGCCAACTACTGAACCAGCAGTCGTCCCTGAAGTTCGACAAAAACATCAAACAGGCCTTCTACAACACAGGCGCGATGATCTTCGTGGCGATCT